ATATATATAGAGAGAGAGAGAGAGAGAGAGAGAGAGACGTGTGTGTGTGATAAACCCTTAAAATTGTCTTTGTAATTACTGAGGCATCCATATCACAAAAAAAATGATAAATTAGGTGTGCTCTAGAGATCTAAATTTAAATGTAGGTTGATATAAAAATATAATTTTATTACACAAATAACTTACGTGGCACAATCAGAGCGAGGATGTATGAACACTTCCCACGTACCCCTCCTCCGGCGTGATGTTGGAAACAAATCCGCTTATACTCACCGGTAGTAAGCTAACCGCTACCTCTGTTAACTAAGTCCGCCGTTCACTCAACGTCGTCGTTCGAGACGACTGTAGTTGCTCAACGATCTTCTAATGCAGTCGTCGTTTCTACCATTTTTTATTTAATTTTTTTCTTAGTTCTTAGTTAGTTCTGTCATTTTCTTCATTTTGTATTGCAGTGAGAATAAAAAATAATAGAAAGGGGCATTTACATACAAACCACACAACTCTTTGTATTTACATGTCTAACACCTAAACATTCATATTTACATGCATATTACCCAAATTCTTAAAATCATATAAAAGAAACCACTATCATCATTTTTCTTAAAGTTAAATACATCTTTCTTGCATGAGCTTACAACACCATTGTGCAATAAATGTAAATATAAAGTATTGGGTGTTAGATATGTAATTACATAAAAATTGTGCGGTATGTATATCTTTAGCCTTAAAAATTACAAAATCAAATCATTAATGAGATAATTAAGAATACCGCAGGTAGGATCAACCTAAAACTTCAAATAAAAAACTTAATAAATTACAAAATAAAAAAATAAATTTCAATAAACATGTAATTTTGCGCATGCCTCCCAAATACATGTCAATTACTCAAGAATAAAATAAACACACCTATATATATATATATATATATATACATATTATTGATGATTTATTAAAATTGATTTAAATGATTTAAAATGTTTGATCAACTTGAGGTAGAGAATAAAATGTGCATAATTGAGTCAATTATTATATAAGAATACGAATAAAATAAAAATAAAAAAGCGTTACGCGCTCCGTCAACATGTAACGGATCCATGCGTCAACGGCGGCAAATGGAACGGCGAATTTTAGCGAGGACTGTTCAAATCCCTAGACTCTCAACACTACACCTGCCTCATTTCACAACGCCTTTCTCTCTCATAGATCCCGTGGACGGGAGAGAAGGCCTCGGTTCCCTGGAATTTCCCGCGGCGATTTATGCGGGTGGCTTCTGTTCCATATCGTTAGGGATCAGCAAGGTTGATCCGAAACCCCCTAGGTAAACCACTGCCGCTTGCTCTCGCAATCGATACACTTGATTTTGGTGGTCGTGGGGGGCGGTTTTCCCTCTATTTCCATCGACGTTAGCTTTATGGGTACCTTAAAACTCAAGTGGCTGTGCTAAATTCTCTTTATGATTATTTTTTAACCTTCTTTGTGCAAGAACTCGCATGGCAAGAGGTTATCTTTGCTTACGAGCTATTTGACGCTGTAGGTCTGTTCAATTGTAGAAATTGGGTTTTTAGTCATTTATTATGTGGCCGCTGAAGGTTAATGAAGTTGGTGATGGATGGAGCCTCCTTGTAGTTATTGTTGTTTCTTTTTGTGACTTGTTAAGTGATATTAATCCCTTAAAAGCTGAAATCTTTTTTGTTATTAGAAATTTGGTCACGGTGGGTTTATTTTATTTTATTTTATAAGTTTTTTATTGTCTTATTGTGGCGGAATGATTTCATGTGTGAAGAGACATAGTCTTTTGAGAAGAGCTCGGCTTTCTTGAATTTGTTCGGCCGGATTTGATTCAATCACGCCGCTTTTGTCTATGAATCTTACTAATTTCGCCTGGAGCGGAGAAGATTTTCTTGCTGCTACTTTTTTCTGTGGATCGATTTTATATTAAGAAGAAAAGTGGTTCCTGAAAAAGTGCTTGGCTTTCTTTGGTTCATTTTTGTTATAAATTCAGTGGATTTGATCCTTATTTCATTTTTTTTTCAATTTAGTGGATTTGATTGAATCATGATTCTTTCATTTTCCATCGGCATAAATTTTCCTGGAAATGGGAGGATTAATAAATTCGGCTGTAGCTAACTAACATAAATAGCTTCTGTCAGGTAGGTTTTAGTAAATTCTGTAAATCAAGAATAAGTGTGTGTTCGGTATTCTCTTTTACGCTTGGTTAAAGCTTGCCTAGTAGATTTTTTGGATCTTTAAATTCTATCATTATGATAAATCCCGTTTCAGGGCCCATTTCTCATCATTGAAGAGATTTAATTAGCTCCAAAAAAATTTTTTTTTTTCACAATCCTTGATGGATTTAAGGATTTCTTTTATCATTGATCATAAGTCCTGAAATAGATAGCCTATTATTTTATCAGATCAATGAGAATTCTTCAAGCTGGGTTCTTTATTCGTAGTTTTGTCACTGGAGATGCCTCCTCACACCTTTCGTTTAATTCTTCTTGCCTATTTTCTGACTATAGATTTTTTTTTTTTTTCATTTTAAATACAGTTGAGAAATAGAATTCTATAGATGGCCGATCTTCTTATTTAGATGTCTTTTTGTCTTAATCAGAGTTTTTAGGAAATCCTCTGCATATTTTTCTTAAGTTCTGTTTGTTTTCTACTTAATGTCACTAAATCAGCTTAACATTCTGTCATTTACGCTTTCATTCCTACTTACAGAATGTTTCTGAAATATCTGCAGATGCATTGGATTTTAGGAGAATGATTGAATCCCAATCAAAATATTGTGGAGATAGGCATTAGAGAAACCCCAGCTTTTTGATGTAAATAGCATTTCAACTGTTATTTTAGATTTTTTGAATACATTGGGTGGGATTGTGCATTTTTGTTTCAAGATGGGGCAAAATTGCTGTGTGGCTGCAAAAGACAAAACTTTACCTAACAATATCAGTCATGAAACTTCTACTTATAGAAATGTTAGGCAATCCCCAAGTTGGAATTTTCGGTGGGACAATAGAACTCACATAGAGGACATTATGGAAAACCATGCACGTTGTTCTCATAATAACAGTGGAAATGTTACATCTGAAGTTAAGAGTGTGGCAGATGCAGAAAGTGATGGCCTTTCTGATAGTGAAAATCCACATAAAGCTTTCCAGACATCCCAATGGAGGAAGTCCCCTAGAATTGGAGGGTCTGACAACCCTAAATTCATTGCTACTGGTAAGTTTTGAGTTTTAATGATTTCATTTTCTTTCTTATTATTATTTTTTTTTTGCATATGTGTTCTTTTGATTTAACTCATATATTTTTGGCCATCTTGGCGGGTTTTCATTTTATTTTTAACTGTTCCTGAGGCTGTACTCGTTGAGATGAATTATTTAAGGGAAGTTTACATACATAGCACATAATTCTTATGCATTTAAATATATTTTCTCTCATGGCTTACCGTTAATACCATTACTAATAGCTTCTATTCTTTTACTCAAATTTCCAATCCTTAAATATAATTCTTGAAATCTGTTTTGGATGTTCCAATTTCATGTTCTATCCACAAGTACGGCTTTTCTTTCAGCTTTTCGACCTAAAGCCCACGCTTCTTTCTCATGCCAATCACATGCAATCCTCACTTCCTTGTTTTTAAGCATGTTTATCTGGATGAGATGCCCTGAAAAGAGGTTTGAAGTACAGAATTGATGGAGCATATCACTGCATTTCTTCCCTTAACCCTTAACCAAAATATTGTGAGAATTCCATTTAATTTGTGGCCAATTTAAGCTTATGCTTATAATGCATGAAATGGGTTGCTGCTAAAAGAAATAGGGAGCAATACGTTTAGACATGATTGTTATAGGCTTAAAAATACTAGCGTTGATTTTTCTATATGCTTTCTGGGCAATATTAAATTCATGGGAAGGTCATTAGCAGTCCTGTATGACATGGTGTTTTATTGTCATTTTTTCATTTGGCATTTTTTTTTATTGCTACTAGTGGGTCGCCTTCATTTGACACACCCATATTTTTTATATAATGTAATTAGTCTTATTACAAACTCATAATTTTTTTTTTTTTAATTTAGATGCTATAACACGGTAATCAATTGGCATTCTTCTTATTAATCATCTAGTCTAAATTCCAGATGTTTTACACACATATAGTACCATGGACTCATAATTATGAATGTTAAATCCATTAAAATTGAATATAGTATTACTAATTTACTGTTCTGTTAACCCTATGTTTGTTATCTTCCTAATATTTTCTATTCTATTCAAACTTCTCCCATATTTTGACAGATGATTTTTGTTATCTGCGAATAGCATATGCTGAAGCACCTCACTTTGAATATTTTGATATATTTTATACGCATCTTCATACTAATGCAAAAGGATTCCCTGTTGATTTTTGATGTAATGTTGCTATGATTAAGAACTGGTTAGTAACTATACTTATTTCTTCTTTGTTACATTGATTTATCATATATATCTTTAATAACATCAAAATGCTTTTAACACCCAATTTCTTATACTCGAAGGGATTTTTTTTTTTTCATGGCACTTAAACATACTCCCAGGCAAATAAAATATGTTCATCTCCTCAACGACTATCTAGTTGTCTTTTTTCCAAATCAAACAAAAAGAAAATGTTGATCTATGACGTCTATAATAACTTCATTTGGCATGGCATTGTCCACTTAAAAGATGTTCTTGATTGCAAAAATCTATTTTAAGGCTATTGAGCTTCTCTTTTGCAATAATTAATATGCATGTTTGATATGAACCTAAATGGTAAGCCTTTGGACTAATTTTTCGAAGAACTTTTAAATGATCATATGCCCTTGCTTAGAGTTTTTTTAATCTAAGCGATGGAAATTTTTCTGACAAATATGAACTATTACATAATTACTCTAAATAATTTTTTTAAAAGATATTTTCTATTTAATTTTTAGCATATTTAACATCACTTTGTTCTTATTATTACATATCTTCTTGGTGAAAACCGAAAATTTTTTTAGCAAAATTAAATGTAGTTCATGCATTAGATGACATTGTGTGCAACATTATGAGGTATTTTATCTGCAATTTCAAGAGGAGTTTTGCAAATCGTTTTGGAACTTGTACTATTTAATGCAAATTGTAATGTTGGACCGTACATTCAGTTACCGAATTTTTTATAAGCTAATTTTGTTTTGCCAAACAATTTTCGCAAAATTTTTTCAGAAGTATTTTGTGTGGGGAGTATTACTATCAAATGGAATAGTAAATGGTAAACAATAAAGTTTTTTAATTTCTTTGAAGAACTGTTTTGGTATTATGATGCAAGTATGTTATTTAAACAATCTGTGAACTATTTCTACTATGTTGTCAAATCCTCTAGTCATCTTATGTAATTTTATCTCTAGATCTGTAAGGAACTAGCAAAATTATTAATTTTCCTAATCTTTATTTTACTATCTTTGCTTTCCCATAAGTGTGGAAAAGAAATAACTCTTTTAACAAATATCTTAAATGATTGTCGAGAAAAATGTGTTCAATTAAAGTTTTAGTTTTATCCTACTAAATTGACTAGCTATCCCTCCACTATGTAGATCAAAGATGATAAAATCTCTCCAAAGGAATTTTAGGTGTACAAACTGTGTACTTCTGACCAAAAAATTGAGTTGCCGAAAATGAATTATTCACATAGAGAAGTTTGCTTTTGAACTCATGAAGGAGGAGGTAAAATTTAAGGTAAGAATTAGTCTTCTTTGAACCATTTAAATCTAAAGATATGGAGTTCTGAAGAAGAAATTACTAATGATACTGTTGATAAGACATGAGGAAGTTTTTTTAGAATTATAGGTTTACCATGTAAGATAAAAGAGTTGTATTGCAGGAATTACATGTATATGATTAAGTTTCTATTAAGAATTTGCATATTAGAGTGCTTGATGATTAGTGAAAATTCCTTGTGAAGAAGATATTGTCTCCAGTGTTTAAGTGATTGAATGAAGGTATAAAATTTTGTCATGTATGGAACTCTATTTCGTGTTCTTACTTGTCTATATTCATTAGAAGCGAATTCAAGAACTTATGAGAAATCAGATAATATTTTAAGTTAGTGAAGAAATAATTAAAATTTGTTATTTGTATGGAAATTTTTTATTCTGTTGGAGTTCATATATTAATTTTTTAAATTATTAGCTAAAGGAGTGGCAACATAATCGAAATTCCTTATGAACCGTCTATAGAAAATGGCTAGCCCGAAGATCCTTCTAAACTCAGTGAAGGAAGTAGAGATATACCAGTCAAGAATAGCTGGGTTTTGGACGGATTAGGCTTAAGAACAAAATAAGGCAACTTTATGATTCTTGAACAAATGCTTATCCCCATTATAGATATGGTTCCCTCTTATGTATAATAGAATTGCAAGTTAAAATTGGATATAAAATTATCTCTGTTACAATTTCCTATAAATACGCCAAATTCCTGTGACAAAACTCAGTTTTGATTCTCCCAAAAATGGATTTAGAATTATCTCGGTACCAATTTCCTATAAATATACCAAATTCCTGTAATAAATCTCGCATTTGACTCTCCCAAATTATATTGTCGCCGCTATAGTCGTCACTAGTTGCAGGTCATGTACATGCCTTAGAGGAACCTTCAGAACATTTTTAATGCATTTTGATTGCTGCAATAGAATGTATTTTATAGTATATTATATTAACTTTGTTTGTCTTCTACTTTTCTGCTTGTTTCCAAAACCGAATTTGTAAAATAAACATGATTCATCCACATTTTTAATTATTTCTTCTTTAAGAAAGCTAACACAAGGTTTATCTTTATCACTGCATTAATATTATCTTAATAATACAATTAATATTTTTATGATGACTTTAACAGATCAATCTACCGCATGTAATTTATCTTCAGAGGTGAGTTAAAACTAAACTTAACTTTGCTGTTAAGATCATACGGTTCGTGCTGCAAATGGACTTAAATTATCTCTTCTGAACAGGTTAACAACTCACTTAAATCATCAGTTTTTCCAAATGCATCAGATATTGAGTCCTCAACTGCTCTTCCTTATTCATCTCCTCCACCTCTCAAGGTGGAAGACCCTTCATCTTCAACTAGCGGTGGGTTCAACCCCTCTGACCCAAATTCTTCAAGAAAGTCGATTCGTTCTCCCGGGTTTCAACTCTACAGACAAATATCTGATAGCAGGATTCCATCTCTCAAATCCCTAAATGAAGGCAGCAGTTCTCCTGAAGCAGGCAGACTCTCCTTCGTGCTTGGCAACGAGTTATCCATAGAATCTCATGGCGTTTCTTCCGACGGATGGTCAATGCATACATTCTCGGAACTCATCGCCTCTTCACAAAGAGATAGATCATCACTCACCAACGAAAACCTCAAGATTTCAGAATTGAATTCGCAGCCCAAAGGTAACCATGCACCAAATCCGCAGACTTGTGGTATATGCTCGAAGTTACTGAAGGAGAAATCTCCATGGAGTGCTCAGAAGATAGTCTCTACTAATGATCTACCTATCGCAGCTGTTTTGGTTTGTGGTCATGTTTTTCATGCCGAGTGCTTAGAAAGCTCGACATCGGAAACTGATATGTATGACCCGCCTTGCCATGTGTGCTCGAATAATGTCGAACGACATGAGCCAAGGGGACGAAACCGGATATCGCGAATCGTCGTGGTGGATGCTGATGTAGACTCGATTTCTGATAGGAGGACGAGAAGTGGAAAGGGTCCGTTTCTGGGAGTGAGTTCGAGCATGAAGAACTCATTGAGTAAGCAGTTTAGTGGAAGGGGACCATTTCTGGGAGCTAGTTCCAGCATGAAGAGCTCCTTTGGTAAACCTTTTCTTAAACGGCATTTATCGATGCATTCAGCGTCTGACAATGAGAAGACAAGGAAGAAATGGTTCTGGCCAAGATATCTTAGAGAATGAATGATTGTTCGCCCTCACTTGTTAAGTTAGAAGAGGTGGAACTATAGCTTTGATTCTTCTGCATTTTTAGTTTGCTTAAATATAAGCACTCTTTCTGAACTAGCTGTTGTGCCTCTTCTATGATTAATTCTCAGCATTCTTTAGAATCATATAAGCTTTCATTTCTTGTTTTCTGCTTATAGGTTTTAAAGCTCAGCCTTATCATATATATATGGCTTTATTGTGTATGATAATACATTATTCAACCAAACCGATGTGGTAAATCCTTGGATTTCAATTCTGCTGTCAGAAATTTGATTCAGGCTGTAAATCCCTAACTAGATTTGATTTTCAACTTTGTAAAAAAAGATTCTTCGCGCATTCATGAATTTGCATCTCTAATTGCGAAGTGATTGTCGCTATCATTATAATAGTCTTTAGCTATAATTTTTAGGCAGATTTTCATACAACTCCATTCTTATATGTTTACTAGTGAGCTTGAGCGCAAGGTGCAAACGCTTCAGACGGAGGCAACTACCCTCTCAGCACAGCTTACTCTGCT